CAGCTAAAATGAGATTGATATACATGTAATAAGGAAACTATATGTGAAAACTATAAATATAAATAGAAAGAAAACTATTGATAACATATAAATGCTTCGTATCATAACAATGTTAATAGAAAGAAAACTATAAATATACATGTGTATAAAGTCGTATAACCTATTCAGGAATATTGATCATTCAATTGAACAGTGAAAAACATGAATCTCATATTAGTAAGGCTTTTAAAAAAACTCTGATATTAATTAATGAGAGTCAAATGATATTTGGAACTAATAATACAGGTGAGGAGTTTATTATATTCTCAGATCTCAGATAACATACTATAGAAATTGCAGAACAATGATCTATTTGGTAGATAAAAAAGGCTTTGGTTAGAATTTTTGGTAAGTTTACTAAAAAGCATCGATTAAGTCCTTATAAGGATCAACTAAAATGATGTAAGTCACAAAATTTAATAGGTAAGACACCGAGAAATATTTGGTTAAAGATGGATTTACAAATTAAGAGAATGTATTGAGTGAGTGGCTTCATGTTGGAAATTAAACACTAAAAGTTTTTTCACTCTTGAAACCATATGAGAGATGAATGTGAGTTAACACAAAAAGTTATTTCAAAACACACACAATATTTGCATGTATATGTATATCGTGTGATATACAAAGTAATTTTTTGTATGTATGTGTGCATGCATGGATGGTTAATTACAATTATATCAATTTTTAATATTCATATAAATACATTCAAGTAGTGAATATTCCCGTGCATCGCACGGGTAATATACTAGTTAATGAAAATTTGACTTTTGAACTATTCATACAACTTAATTCAATTGTGTTTCTGTACTAATGTATTAATGAAATCATTTTATACAACAATACTCCCAATTAAATTTCTCTTAATCTAAACTTTCTATCATTTTAGCTTTTTATAAATTTTGCAAATACATGATTATATATATATATATATATCAATGATCAAAACTTTACGTCTTGAAATTAAACAAGAAAGTCCAAGAGCCCGTTTGGAGAACTCTGTTTTCGGCTTATCAGGCTTATCAGCCAGCTTTTTCACCAAACACGTAACTTTTACTTTCGCGCGCTGAATTGTGTAATAAGCCGAAAAAGTAAGGTTGGAGTTACTTTTCTGGCTGTATTGGCTGAAGTTACTGTAGAGGACCATTTTAGCTATTTTTACATATAATTTTTTCTTTAATTTATTAATAAAATATATTTTTAAAATATTTTTTTCTTAAATCAGCAGAATCAGCCAAAACAGTCACTCCAGCCAGAATATCATAAATTTCAGCAGAATCAGCCAAAACAGCCGATTTTGGTGCTACCAAACGGGCTCCAAATATTGCAACGAAAAGGATAAAAGAGAGCAGCTCGTTAGGCTTAAATTAAACAAGAAAGTCCAAATATTGCAAAGAAAAGGTTTATTCCCATCATCATCCATGTGCCGCTGCTGTCTACCGCTACAAGAGCTCCGGCGACTGCCAAAACTATCCAGTTTTGCTCCGTAGCCGGTCCACCTTGACTGTAATTTGCTGGTCTGGTCTAGTCTAATCTGGTTTGGTTCGGTCTGGTTTATTTGTACTTTTATATATAACTGCCCAAGTCGGGTCTAGTCTGGTCTGATCTGGTCTAGTCTGGGACAAATTACAGTCCAAGTAAAAACATCCTAATGTATAAGAGACAACTAAACGGGAAATTTTATAACAATGTTTTTATGTTTAAAATTTGTTGATGATTTCATGTATGCGTTTGCGTTCAAACGTATAACAAAAAAAAATCATAAAAGTGTATCATTTCTTAGAATAAATAAAACTCAAATATAACTCAGAACTCAACTCGAACCAAGTTATCATTTTTTCGACTCGACTGAAACTTAGCTCGATTCAAACTCAATTTTTCATTATCAAATCCGACTCGATCTAAGCCGAACTCGAGCTCGACTTTCTCAAATAGCACCCCTATTTTGAATTTTGATACGGAGGAATTAGTAAAAGTGCTTCCTTTGTGCTAGATATATAGTCTTACTAGGTCCGGAAATTTTAGGTTATTACGATAAAAAAAACACAAGGAGTTAATTCAAATTCTAATCTTTCCAACTTTTATTTCTATTTGATCTACGTTGTAGTTAATAAGCTGGATGACGATCGATTACCGTTGAATGTATTTGGATTTTAGGCAAATAACTTTTTTACAAGACTTTCTAACATGATCTATTTTAGACAATGAACTTAAGAATTGTTTAATTTGTAAATAATTTTGACATCTCACATTATAATGTTCAATCATCAGGATGCTGAAAAATGGAAAGATGTTTTTTAACGCGTGTGGTTGTGTTTGTGTAGATATAGTTCTCTTGTTGTATGAAGAATTTAGTGTTGAGCGTTGCACGCTAGGTAAAATGTAAAATTTGCATCGAGTACTTGAGTTCAGTATGCTATTTGGTTATTTAGAGGTCACAAATATCTCCATTTTAACCATCAAAATTGGAATCAAATATGGAGTACTTTGGAATCAAATACTTTGTGAGAGGGGTCACTTCTAGTGGTAAATTTTGATAAGAATGATCGATCTCTCATAAGTCATAACGAGATCAATTTAATGATCTAATCTAATTTGAGATGAAACTACAAGTAAAATATAGCTTCATATTAATTGTATTATTACTTCCATCAATCCATCATCCGTTCTTAGCTAGGGTGATCGATCTCTCGTAGACTCGTACTCGTATGATATACTGTATTTATATGATGATGAATTGGCGATTGCATACTACTTCTACTAATGTATAGTATTACAGAGTACTTCGTATATGATGATGATGATTATAACGCCCTCGTCAAATGTTCTTGCATAAAATATGCCTATTTAATTTCCGGGAACCATATATAAAAACTATAGTATTACGGAGTAATAAAAACACGAATACTAGATCAGACCGGTTCAGCTCAGGTCAAACCAGATCAGCCTTAAACAGATCATACTAGATCAAACCAGATCACACCAGCAAATTTCAATCCCAAAAAAAACATGCTAAAACTGCGGGTAACTTGGATCAATAAATTCATAAAATTTTGGCATTATATTATTAATTAATTACGTGTATGATATTTCACACCAACACTGCAAAAATGATCTAAAACATTCTCAAATTAAAGGTCACATCATCTAAAAATGATCCCACACACCATCCACCATAACTCGTTTTTTGTGTCACCTACCAAACAACTTAAATTGAAAGGAAGTGGTGCATCTTTAATTTGATGGTATATTTAGGATGTGACCACACTAAACATACGGAGTATTTTAAAATTTGTTAGAATGTTTTGCTGAGGAGTGAGTGTCGCTTCACAGAATAGTGTGGTGATTCAACTATTCAAGTCTATATATGGGCACGTATCTCCAATTTTGAGACCACACAATTGAAGAAAAAGGAGATGAGAAAATAGTCAAATAGGTCCTCGAACTTTTATAAAAAGGTCAATTAAGTCCTTCTATAGGAGGTTCTGTCCGGCCGTCGGGATTTGGGGCAGTTCCCGGTGGAATTTTTTGATGAAATTTTTTTAGCATCTTATTCAGCAAGTCTAGTTTACTCATACCAAATTTCAGCTAAAAATTCAATCGAGAACACATTCAAATTAATTCTTGAAGATAACTGCGCATTTTTGAGTTCTCGAATTAATTTGAATGCGGTCCCGATTGAATTTTTAGCTGAAATTTGGTATGAGTAAACTAGACTTGATGAATAAGATGCTCAAAAAATTTCATCAAAAAATTCCACCGGGAACCACCCCAAATCGCGACGACCAGACAGAGTCTCCTATAAAAGGACTTAATTGACTTTTTAATGAAAGTTCGAGGACCTATTTGACAGTTTTCCCAAAGGAGATTAGTGTAGTGGCTGGATCCCTCTTCGATCTCAAGCGACGTAGTGAACGTACACGGTTTAAACTTTACAGAGGAATCAACTTCTACGTACACAAATAGACATTTTTCACTTTTTTAGCTACATTCATGTGTTGGTAATCTTGGAGCATTTTTAGATAGGGGGTACATTTTTTCCCGAATCCCTACATGATTTTAGAAAAAATATCAAACCTAAAGTTATTGATTGATTCCACATAGACATAGACTAGCTAATCCTGATTTCGGGCCCAGACCAGACAGCCCGTGAGGTTGGCCCCCTTGAATTGAGACCGACACCAGGTATATTGGTTCCGAGATCCCCATATGTTCCAGCTCCGGTTCTGATTTTTTATTTGTATTTTATGTTTTACAATCTCTCAATGCCTTCCTATCCTATTTTAGACTTTAAATAGATCCATACCTCTTCTAAAATGCTTAGTTTTAAAGTGACAAAAGACCATATCAGGATCAGACCAGTCAATTCTGATCAAATACCACCAGTCAAGATCAATGCGGTAGGATTGCAAAAAAGGCCTCAGTCCAAATCTGTGAACCGGCCGGTTAATTCTAATCCCAACCGGTAAGAGACTGTGAACCGGGTCGCTATCTTTTGCTCTAAAAATGATTATTTGGAGAGTTTCCCAATAGTTTATGAGAGTTTCCAAAACGGGAAACATACTCTTTTCCGATAGTTTCCGTGGTACATTTAATTAGACTCCTAATAAACATAATGTACACAATAATACCGAGTAATACTCTTTTCATTCGTATTAATCAAAATTTGACTTTTGAACTATTATACAACTTTAATTGTGTTTTTCTACTACTGTTTAAGGAAATCATTTTAAGTAAACTATCATCATTTTAGCTTTTTATAAATTTTACAAATACATGATTAAATATATCGATGGTCAAAACTTTACGTCTGGAAATTAAACAAGAAAGTCCAAATATTGCAACTAAGGATGTTTTCTTTTGGACTGTTTTCAATCCCAGACTAGACGTTTGCCAGATCAGACCAGACCAGCAAATTTCAATCCAAAAGAAAACATCTTTGAAAGGTTAAAAGTGAGCTGCGCGTTAGGGTTGAATTGAAGTACTTGAAGTTGTGTACACTTGAAATATTTATTCCCATCATCATCATCCATGCATGTGGAATAATTAACAAATTCGATCACAATTACTCCGTCTATGATACCATTGATCCATCAATCTACATAATCTCTACTGGTTTCTGTAATCGCCACAGTACCAATAAAGGTTAGGAGGCTGATCAAGAGAGAATATATTGCAAGATTCCTCTGTAAATAAACTGCCAATTTGATCTGCCTCCATCCTCACAAACTGAGGCTGCAGGTAAATTGAGGAGCTTTTGGTCATTAATGGCTGCTGCAAGTTGAAGCTGCTGTAACTATTGTCTAGTAGAATTTCATTATTGTTGTTCAGCCCTCCACTTGAATCACTGTCCGATGACCCGTCTCCGCTGTTTCTCGGAGCCAGATAGTCGTGGTCGTGGTGGTTATGGCTCGCCAGCAGGCAAGAATCCTCTCCGGCCGAGTGATTGTTTTCTTCCACAACAAGAAGCTTCTCTCTTAGCCCTTTAAGCTGAAAAAATTTGATGAATTTTTCCTGGTTAAAGCCTAAAATATCAATGGGGGAAAAGCATGGGGCTCACTTTCATCTAAGAAAAGGAACATTTCTTCTATAAATGGGAAAATGACTCCAATATTACTTCCGCGAATAAGAGTCTCACAAACACTAAAGCTCGGATTCACATCAAAGCAACCAACTGTAATAAGACTATAAGAGGTTGCTATTTATAAAGTAAAACATATTTTCATGTTTTGAATAAGAAATGGTTGGACCTGTTCTAAGCGCGGGGTGTATCCTTTTTTTATTAATGGTGTTACTGACAATGATATTTTGAAAGTGATCATTAATACTCAATAGGGAATACTTGAAAATTTTAAATTTTCTTTTAGTAATATTTGTGACAAAAATAACTTATTGTACATTTGTAGAAGATATTTTAAAGATTTTCTGTTGAAATTATAGTATAAAGCAAACCGTTACAGGGGGAGAAATCTTTTTGCACAAAAAAGTAAAGCCGAATACTGGCCGATTCGAATAATCCAATGTGGAAAATGGTAAGCAAAAGATGACAAGGAAAATACGGACTAGTTTTTATATTTGACTTTACAGTACGTGGAGAAACGAAGATTGTTGAAACTTTCTCAAATTTGACACAAACTTTTATTATTAATAGTATAATACAAATATTATTGACTAATTGAGTTCAACGAAACGCTGAATTTTTTAATTGATCATGTTGCATCACCTAATTTACATCCAATTTACCTTTTCCTCAATTTCCACTCCCTAATATATCCTGATTTACAAACAAACCCCTAAAGATCAACACGTTTTCATGTGCCAAACCCATCCGTACTGTTTTTTCCCCCGAAATACAGATTTTTTTCCAAACATTCACCAAATTTACTATTTTTCCAATTTCCACTACCTGCTACTCCATTTTATACTACGTAATTTACAATCATACCCTAACCAATAAAGGAAATTATTTTTCTTTATGAAAGTTATTTTTAAAATGTTTTCATGTGCGAATACTTTCCAAAATACAACTTCAGTAGTCTAAGACAAGTAATATCATGTCAACTTAAAAATACTTGTGGTTTTATTTTTACAACATGTCGGTTACATTACATAGAATTGAGTGTGAACTCCAATTCCTTTCTTTCTCATTCAAAAAGTAAATGATTCAATCATTATGCTCAAAATTTGTCACTCTTAAGCAACTTTAACTCCTCCATTTAAGTGCAAAAGTTGCAATTCCTCCTCCCCATTCACTATCATGTGATCAAGTGCATAGTACCAAACATAAAATTTTAACAAATCCAACCAAACAACCCAAATTGAAACTCATTCCCCATTTTCCCATAAGTTTCACTCCCAATTATGAATAATTCTCAATTATGAATAATTGGGAGCATTTGTTTTGAAGGACAAAGTCTTTACAAAATTCGGTCTTTATATTATTTTTCTTATCAGGTTGACCTATAGAGATCACGAATCAGAAACGAATTAGCGGAATATGAGGTTCATACCTCTGCAATTAGGTCTTCATTTTGCTGTTCAACTTTCTTGTAATCAATCTGAAGAGTTTCATAATTGGCTTTGAGAAGATTGAAATCTCTCTCCAGCTGCTTGGTCTTGTAACGGGCACGGCGGTTCTGGAACCAAATTGCCACCTGTCTCGGCTGCAGACCCAAATCTCTGGCGATCTTCACCTTCCGGTCCGGTTCAAGCTTGTTGTCAACTTCAAACACTTTCTCCAGTGCATGAACCTGTTCCACACTTAGCCTCCTCTTCTTCCCATTCATTCCCCCACTCTCTTCCAGGCAGTCATCTTCCTCCAATCCATCCAACATTGCCTGAAATTCACTGCTGTAAACCATCTCCTTTTCTGCACAAAGGGTAAACGAGCAATTAGATTCTAATAAACTCGAATAACAAACATACCCAGGAATAATTCGCGAACGAATTCACATATAAGACTTTGAACTACTATTCAGAAGAATGGGTCTTAGGAGGATTCAAAAGATGAATTGGGTTAGATAAAATTATGTACCTTGAGGGGGATAAAGCAAGCTGACAGAAGAATCACAAAAACTGAACCTCTTCATAAGAATTGGGCAGTATATACTTAGGAGAATAATCAGGAAAGGGGTGAGAGAGAATTGGGGTATGTGACAGTGAAAGGCTGGGGATGATGAAACGGGCTATAAAGGGGAAGGAGGAAGGCTAGGAAGGGCTAAAAGAGACAGTAGTGTGGAGCGTAGAGTTACAGAAACAGCGAAGAAAGAAAAGGGAAATTGAAAGAAATCAAAAGGTGTTGCTTTTCATCATTAACCAATCAATAGAATAGGAGGAGGAATAGTTAATTGGGAAGAAAAAAAGAGGAACTTAGAGCCCGTTTGGTAGCACCAAAATCGGCTGTTTTGGCTGATTCTGCTGAAATTTATGATATTCTGGCTGGAGTGGCTGTTTTGGCTGATTCTGCTGATTTAAGAAAAAAATATTTTAAAAATATATTTTATTAATAAATTAAAGAAAAAATTATATGTAAAAATAGCTAAAATGGTCTTCTACAGTAACTTCAGCCAATACAGCCAGAAAAGTAACTCCAACCTTACTTTTTCGGCTTATTACACAATTCAGCGTGCGAAAGTAAAAGTTACGTGTTTGGTGAAAAAGCTGGCTGATAAGCCTGATAAGCCGAAAACAGAGTTCTCCAAACGGGCTCTTAAACTGGTATTGTTTTTCCTCGGAATTCTAGCCCCAAGGAATCCATCCATGTCCTGTATATCGAGGGGTAGATGAAAATTTGAGATTTAATATTAATATTAATATTATTATTTTATGTATGCTGCCCAGCTAGCTACTGCCCATCTTTTTCGTCTACAACTTTTCTTTATTATTGATGTGAAATGACTTTCTCCGTTTTTGACTTTTCTTCCTCTTTCTCTTTTCTTTTCCTATAATATTTTAGTATTATTCTGTGGGGTGGTTGAATTCAATTGTCCAATTGGTTCAGACACTCCCACTCTACAATCCAGTGATCCACAGTTTTAAATTTTAATTACAACTTCTAATGTGTATAGATTTCACATACGGAGTAAAAAGTTTTTCATCCGCCTATTTTACTCATTTTAGTTTTTTTTTTTTTTGAAAAAAAAAATATGTATGTGATTTATGGGATTTCACTTTGTTATTCTTAAATTTCAACATAACTCTCAAGTGATATACTTATATCACTTTACTAATATTTGTATCAAATCAAAAGAAGACACATAAAATGGAGTGAAGGTAGTACTTGTTATTAAATTTACTCTTTATATATCTAATGGTTTTATGATTTCTTACTTTTTCTGTAAAATGGAAAAGAATTTTATTTTTCTTTGTATTGATTCACTATGTTAACTATCCCATATTGGACATGTTGTTTTAATTTGACACAATTATTAATAAATTGATTGAAAAGATAATATTGTGATTGAGGTTAATAGAATAAAATGAAATGCTACGTAACACATTTCTTACCAAAAAACGGGGCCCTCATTTTGGACCTTCATTAAACTAGCTAGGGTAAGTTTAAGAATATTGTTTTATTGTTTTAATGTATAATAAGAATAAGAATATTGTACATGTCAGTAATGATATATCTACTCTTGGGTCTTTACATATCAGAGGTATCCAATGTATGTTTGAAATCATACGGAGTATCTTTTATTTTGAAAAGTAATACACCTGGCAGTAAATAAAATGTTCTAATACTAATCCTTAAGTTAATACACGTATTAACTAATATCTAGGCAGTAGGCACAATAATAGTCAGAGAAATTACGTTGTACACACTACACAGTAGTTTTTAGAGGTGAAAAAAAGTACGTAGTTTTAAGAGGTGCACTCAACCATTTTAAGCATTCGGTGGGTGTTGCCTACTATTACTATTGATGAGGTTCACTCACTATTTCTAATATTCACACAATAAAAGTTTGATTGATGATATTGTTTTGTCAATTTCTTCAATCATCAAGATAAATAGGATTGAAGTTGTTTTTCTAGCTGAATTGGTTGAATTTATTGTAACAGATCATTTTAGCTACTCCGTATTTTTTTATATATTTTTTCTATTATTTTATTAATAAAATATATTTTAAATATAAATGTTTCATAAATCCAGGGAATCACTCCATCCGACCACTTCAACCATATAAGTGAATAACAGAGAAGGTAAAAATAATCGATGATATAATTGATATGATCTTTACATGTATTTACATACAAAGAAGATAACGATAGAGTGGTGAAAATAGTCGTGGAACTAAAATGATATTATCCACGTACACTAAATGGGAAAATAAAGTGGAACATATACAACTTTGACCTAGTATTTCTAAAAGAGGAAACTACTAGCAACATTTTATTACCCATCCCCCACAACCTGAAGAGTGGGATGCTCTTCAAGCTTGGTTCACATGGAAGCTATCCAATCTTTAGGTAGCGCTTTGGTGAATATTTCAGCAAATTGGTCAACCTTAGAGACATGACAAATTAGAAGATCTCTAGACTCAACTTACTCACGAACAAAGTGAAAATCAAGAGTGATATGCTTTGATGGGTCTGGATAATCGGATTAATTCTTGTACATGAATTCGGAACCCACATTGTCACAAAGAATTAGAGGTCATTGTGAAAGAGGCATGTGCATATCAGTTACTAACCGTTTGATCCATAGTAATTCAACGGAAGTATATACCAACGCCATATATTAAGCTACTATGCTTGAGCGAGCAACTACCCCGTGTTTCTTGGATGTCCAACTAATCAAATTATTAGGCCCGTGAAAGACAGCAAAACCATACTAAGATCTGCAAGTAAGGAATTGATTGTGGTTGGTCGAAAGAAAAGATGATGATGATGATGATGATGATGATGATGATGAGTACCTTTAAAATAGCATAACACCCGTTTAACAGCGTGCCAATGATCTGTAGTTGGGGCATGCATATATTGGCAGACCCTATTCACTGCGTAAGCAATGTCGGGACGAATAATGGTAGCATATTGTAGAGAGCCAATTATACGTCATTAGAGGCGCTTCACGAGAGCAACTATACGCCGACTGATGAGATAAATCAGCTTCAAGATGAACCTCTTCTTGAAGAAGAAGGCCGACAATATCATCTTTGGAGGTGTCGTTGGAATTGATCATGAGGGAAGAAACAAACGGATTGTACGATGAATCCAAACCGCCGAGGATGTACCCAATCAAATCTTCGTCATCCATCGGATGCAAGTTCTCAACTAGGGAGTCAGTGATACCTCTCTTCTTCTCAATGTAGTCAAGCATTGCAAAGGAGCCATTAGTAAGGGACTACAATTGCGCCTTAGCTTCATACTCATTCGATTTGCTCGAGTCTGAGCTTAGAATGACCGATCTAGAGCCAACCAGGCAGCGCGGGTGGATCGGAGCAGCATCGAGCAGCAATAGAGAGAGCACGAGGGCCTAAGGTGGATTTTAGCCAGAGAATCTGCTAAAACGTCTTTCTTTTAGCTTTTTCCGGTTAGCCACATACTAAAGAAACTAGAAGAGTCAGACGCCGTTGACAGGACTTTCTTTAGTATTATGGGGGGCCTAAAGCGCGGATAATCTGCTAAGGCTTTTTGTAGGAATTGCTTCAACGATGTCTACCGGTACCCTTGGCAATCTGACCGATATAACTGTGGACTTGTCATCGCTAAAACTGATCCGCACCCAGCCCTCACACATGGATGCTTGGTCGCTCTAATTGAGCTCCCTAGAGTGGCAAACGTTATTAATGAAATCAAGTATGGCTTGCTTTTATGCTATAGTTTCTGCTCGTGTCAAAGAGAACCATTACAGAATTGCTAAGAAAATAAATTTGAATTCCATTTTTTGTGTATAGCTAAACAAAAAAGAATATCACAAAGCTAAACAAAAGAGAATATCACAAGGTCAAACAAAAGAGAATATCGAGGGAGAAATCAACTTCACAACGAGCCTCCTCTTGAAAAAGAAAGCCAACAAGATCGTCTATGGAGGTGTCGTCAGAATTGATCATGAATCTAAACCCGCTAATGATGTAACCAAGTATAAATTCGTCATCCACCGGTAAGAGAGTCAGCGATAGCTCCCTTCTTCTCAATGTAGTCAAGTATAGCCAAGGAGCCCTTGGTAAGGTACTGCAATTGCGCCTTCATACTCATTCCATTTGCTTGAGTTTGAGCTTGGAATGACCAATCTAGAGCCAGTCAAGCTGCACAGGTGGTGGAGCAGTGAGCAATAACAGAGAGAGTAAGAGGACCTAAGGCGGAGTTAAGCCAGAGAAGAACAAAACAATCTCATTCATTCCATGGAATTTATTCCGGATTTGGTGTCGGACCCCGCTTGTCTTCAATGACTGAAAGGAATTCCAATGGGGGAATTGGGTTGATGGCAAAGGACTCCAAATCAAACGTCTCAACAATTGAGACAATGGTGGTACGTCACAGACAATGGGTGTCACGTTCCAATATGAGATTCATAGAGGAAATTTGAAAATAAGGGAGAGGAATTTCGAGAAGCAAGTAGAACAAGTTTGTGGGTGGATTAGTTATTTAATGCTATGTTACCATATAAGTGAATAGCAGAGAAGGTAAAATAAATCGATGATATTATTGAGATGACCTTTACATGTATTTATACACAAAGAAGATAATGATAGATAGTTGAAAAATAGCAATGAAACTGACATGATCTTAACCAATTCAGCCAGTTTGATAACAAATTGTTGATTTTTTTATCAAACAATACACATTATTAATTAACTTTTTTTCATAAATAGAATTATATAATGATCAAAATATTTATGGTGAAGTTACTTTTCTATTGAATTATTGAGTGATTGTTTTAGTTTTTTTTTCATATGCTACTTTCTTTTATTTATCATTAAAAATATATTTTAAACATATCCCTTTCATAATTCAATAGATTTTTTATCCCAAATTTATAAATTTCAGTTTATTCACGGTATCAAATGGATTTTATTTATCGTTGATTAAAGTCGGAGTTTTAAAATCTTACCATGCGATCATGGAGTTAAGAATATCATATACTCCATATGAATTTATTGATTATTGAATACCATTGTTCCTTTTCCTAGTAAACTATCAGTCCATATATCAGTATATGTCTCCACTTCAATTCAAGTTTTTTTGTCGCCATCAATTTAAGTTAAATAAATACGGATTATCTTTTTTCTTATATTGGGAAACTCCCAAGAGTTTAGTAGCTACTCCGTACTTCATAGCTTAGTACTGCATTGCGAATTTGAAATTTAAGATGAATATTTAAAAGAAAATATCGAAAGAAAAGGTGTGGAAAGTTTAATG